AGTATGTTTGTGTGTTCGTGTATGCGTGTCTGTATGTTTGTGTTAACTTTATATGTATTTTTACCGGATTCTATTATTTTACTTTCCTTAGTGTTTGATTAGATTTTTGTGTTTAGTTGTGTGAAATAAAGGTTTTTGGTCGTAATATTGTTAAATCAATTGTTTCTCATATATTTTTTCATTGGTTTATATTTAGTGTGCTGCTTAACGTTTTTAACTAGCTTATTGCAATTGTTTTTTATTGTATTTTTTTAAGCATTTCACCCCAAGCAAGGTGTAAAGCGACTAGCACGCAAGGGGTTACAGAGGATTTGAAGCGAGAGCAAACAGCTCATCGGAGCAATTACCATGAAGTTATTTGTGAAAAAAGACAGAGAAAGGCGAAGGCACGTCTGTGAGAGAGCGACTGCAGACAAGATGCCAGATCAGGGCCAATTTCATTGCATATGCGTCTCTGGATCTTATAAAAAACCCCGAGGCAAACAGAAGGGGCTCCAGACCATATATGGCATCAATACTCTATGCAAGGTTTAATGGTTGATTTGTAGATTTGAAGGATCGATTCCGTTGAGACAAATTTCCTGGCGTGAAGTCCTAATGAAATAGACGCATTTTTTTATATATATATATATATATATATATATATGTGTGTGTGTGTGTGTGTGTGTGTGTGTGTGTGTGTGTGTGTGTGTGTATAATGTCATATTTCCTTACTAAACTGCATCGTATTATTATTTTATTATATTAAAATATTTATCAGTAAAATATATATTTCTAAAATATATTAAATGGGAAGATCTTGAAAGTAATCTATCAGTTATAATTTAAAATATAGTTAAATGCTGTTTTTTAAGTTATTTCTTGATTTTGCGTAATGTTCCTTCGCTGTAATTGTTTCTGACATTTTTATTCTTAGCGGTACTTGCAAAACGTTTAATTTTCACTTTTCATTCATTTTCTGCTTCGCAATACGCATTATTGTTAATATGGAATTACTTTTATCTGTCTTTTGTTTGCTTTAAATAATTCTGTAATCATTTCTCTGTTTTTGAATAATGTAACACTGGTGTTTCCATTGGATTATATTAAAGTGGCCAGTTTTAATATGTATCAATACTTGTTAGGATATTTACTGAAGAATTCATTCTTTTCGAAACATATTAGCATTTATAAGCATTTAATCGTTTCACTGATGTGCAAATATTATTCTTTATACAAGATGTCCAAAAAGCTTTTCCGATTCTTCACTGAGATGACGACATGTCTCAGCTGCATTTGAACCATACTGGCGGTAATGTCAGACAACAGCAATTTGTTGCTGCTGATTCAGTCATGTACCTGAAGCCTCGAAAACCAAAATAAAATAAAAACTGCAATAATGCAATAAAAATATATATAAAAATCGGGCGGAACATTTTGGCCACCCGGTATTTAAGTCTAGTATCATTTATATTACTAGGGTATGGGTAAAAAAGTATTTACACAGTGCAAGGCCCAAGCGTTACTCAAGGTAGATGGTTACTGAATTATGTGGTTGTATGAAAGTTAGACGATATAAAAAGTGGAAATTATGGGGTTATGTAGGATCAGTAATGGTTAGCCCGAGATCTGAAAAGGTTAATATTTTAGTGTCTGTGAAAATATAACCCTCGGAGGCGGGGTTCCTTAAAGTAGTTGCGCTTCGAGGGAATCAATTTACTTGTTTCAGGGATAGAGAATTATCATTGGGTTATATCCGAGTCTATAAGCCGTTCGGAAGATTAGTCATTTATCTATAACCGCTTATTTGCTTCGATGTGAGTTAAACATCGTGTAACGACGAAAATACGCAGGCGTAGGCTTTAAGAAATATGTATATAACTAAGAATACAAGGTTCGCGTATAGTGACTTTTATAGTACCAGTATACAGAAATAGCTCTCTCAAACTGGAGAGTAACAAGACAAAGGGAGACCACTCTTGATTATTCATAACAGATTGGTTATTAATTGTTTTGTAGATACTCATTGAAGTAGTTCGGGGATAGATAGTTATTAGACGTTTATATTTAGATTTATGAGAATTTATTTGAAAGAATGCCTCTTCTGTGGCAGATGATGTCCTCGTTGGATTCTAGACAAGGGCTGTTTATCAACTATGATTTCGTAATGATGAACACGCTCCAATGATGCTGTGTCGTTCTACACACTTAATTTTATATGTACTTGTTGTCTCTCGGTTCGGAATCTGGAGACTGATAGATAGTTTTCTAATTCATCGATCTAAATTCCTTTTTTTTTCTAGCGTAGAAAATATACCTCACTATTTCAATATTAGGTAAGTGTTTTATGTAACATTGTTTTAGCCTCTGCTGTTTACCTATGTTTAGAATGTTTTTCTTATAGTTCATTTATTGTATATTCCTTCATTTGCTTGAGCGCCTCGAGGCGTTGTAGTGTTTAACGTGTCTCGCTAGAACAAGTACGATTGACTAGTGAGTTCGATCCTCACTGGGTTTCACTACTTTCGGCCTTATGCTACATCTAAGCCAGGCTCAGATAATCACTATTCCTTCATTTGCTATAGATGTATTTCGATAAATCTTATATATTCATAGTGGCGGTTAAAATAAACAGATCGAGTTAATCTCTAGTCAAATATCTTCCCTTGTACAACATTTTAATAAGGTTTACTTTGTTCCGTTTTATGGCATACCAACTTCAATGGGTTATTTAATGCCGACAAGATTTTCATTGTTGGTAATATTTTTTTTCTAATATGTATTGGTGATAATACTTTTTCATCAAAAATGTACTGCTGGTAATATTTTTTCTTTTTCAAAAAAAGTACTGCCGGTAATAATTTTTCAAAAAAATGTATTGTTGGTATTAAAACCAATTTTTATACTTTCATAGTGCTTTGACCACTTTTGGGGGCTTAACTATTTTCCCATAGCTGGGTAACACCAGCAATTAAGAGGTGCTTCCATGCTCCTCAAAACCTCCTGATAAAGGCCCTTGCTGTCGGATGTAGTTTATCGTCTTTCCAAGGACGCCGATGTAGTCTATCGACATCATCGGGACGGCATTTTAATAAGGCCACGTATCTATAGGATAAAAGAAGTCATAACACACCACAGACTCCATTAGTAACTTTTAATTGACACACCATTTACAAAATGTAGTGCAGATTTCTTTAATAATTTAACCTCAAGCAAAGCAATAAAACCAATTAGACACTCGGGGTTACTGTGTGTGAGAAAATGTGAGAACAATAAAATTTATCTACTTTTGCATTGCCTTCGACACGGTAGGAATTCAGATATTCATTACGTAGGCTGGCTGCCACTTAATCTTAGGGATTCTAATCCACACTGCTATTTAGTAGGAATATAGAAGATGAAAGACATAGCTATACCTTTCCAACTGATATTAGTTTGTGACTGTTTGTCGGTTTCTAGGAACCGAGCTACTTGACAACGACAGAGTCGTATATATATATATATATATATATATATATATATATATATATATATATAAAAATTTCTCAGAGTTAACCCGTAGAAAAAAAAAACAATATTTATAAATGTAAAAGACAGTAGGAAAACTTTAATAGTTGCCGACGCGTTTCGTCCAATTTGGATTTTCTCAAGGCAAAAGCTGAAATTTCCTTAGCAACTGGAAGAATATAGAGAACGCTATTTTCATACTGTTAACAAATCAGAAGAAACAAATTGAATCCGTCAATACAGCAATAAAATCAATATCTCGACAGGTGACAGAAATTGACGTAATTTCAGTTAACAGTATAAAACTAGCGTTTTCTAAATTCTTCAAGTTGCTAAGGACATTTTGTTTTGTTATTATTAGTTACTTCGTTTCATAAATTCATTTCGTTTTTGCCTTGAGAATGTCCACATTGGACGAAACGCGTCGGCAACTATTACAGTTTTCCTATCATCATTTACAGTTACATATAATGTGTCTGTGTTTGTGTATGGGTCTGTCTGACTGTGTGTGCGTCTGTCTGTCCGTCTGTGTGTGTGTGTGTGTGTGTGTGTGTGTGTGTGTGTGTGTGTGTGTGTGTGTGTGTGTGTTTGTCTGTGTGTATTACATAAAAATGAAACTCAATTTTACCCCATTTATATAGCCATTTCGCTGTTAGAGAAATAAATTCCCTGGAGCTAGTCGTTACTAATTTTTTTTTTAAATGAGCAAAACGGCAATATAAATATTTCATTTTTACGTAATTCATTTTTATGCTGTATAATAAATATATTGAACGCTCTTTAATGAAACAGTTTTTTATTATTAGGATTTGCTTGGATTACTTACCCACGGATTTTTATCTGTATACATGCAAACATATATATATATATATATATATATATATATGTGTGTGTATATATGTATGTATGTGTGTATGTATGTAGGTGTGTATGTGTAGGGTTGTAAAGTGTTTAATGACTTTGCAATAGTGTTTATAGTTCATAAAATTCAGAAATTCTCCGTCATAAAGAAAGAATGGCACATATTTTTACCTCAACAAGAATTGATGGTGATTAATATATTTAAACTAAACTTGCAATGTAATGTACGTTGTCATCTAATCAGGAAAATATTTATCAACACGATGCGACCTCATATCCTCATTACATAATTAATCCCGCCAGATGAATAATCCAGGTGTATGCCAGCCTGTTTTGTGATGTTGGTTTAAGCGTGGGACTTGTGAATGGGGGGAGTCAAATTTTACAGCTCTCTTTCTTCCATTCCATATCTGCGGGTTGATTTCATAAGTTCCATCAGAAAGATCATGCAGCACCATGAACGATTGTCATCAGCCCACAAGCTCCAATTGGTTACAGTGATTTTTAAGTAATTTCTGTACTTCCTTCCTGGCGAATCCCTGATGCGTTGGCTGGAGGCCAGCTCATCAGAACAGTAGGGTTTGGAAGTCGATAGTTCCCATCGACGATACGTGGCCTGTCCAGTGCAGCTGTATTTTTGCGGTGTTGTCTCAATGATAAAAGACGGTGACACCATTGCGAACTACAGTATTTGTAATGAAGCTGTCGCAGTGTCCATTCAGAATGGCTCGGACGCAGCGCCGGTGAAAGCGTTCAACGAGCCATAGGTGGCGCCCATAGATTATACAAGATAACATAATGGATTGGGCACAGCGTGACATCTTTGATTTTGCCTTTCTTTAAGTTTTCTTATATATTGAACTCTCCCTCTCGCAATACACACACACACACATATATATATATATATATTTATATATATATATATATATATATATATATATGTATGAAGGATAGCAAAACAAAGATGTAGATAGAATAAGTAAATGTGAAAGAGATGAAGAAATCAAAATCTAGGAACTTAGTTGATGGACATTATAATAAAAATGCTGAAAGAGACCATATAAAGAGTGTCAAAAATAAAACCTTTAATGCAGAATTCCGAAGGTGAAGGTAGAAACAGCAAGTACTAAAGGGGAAATATCTGAACAATATAACGAAAATCAAAGGTGATACAATAAAAAAAAAGCAACGAAAGAAGAATGGCTAAATAAAGAATACACGGAATGATAGATAATAGGAAGGCAAAGGAACGTAGCCGGAAATGAACATAGAATGAATTATCATGAAGAACCATACAGAAAGAAAAAAATGAAAATAAAATAAGGTGAACGGCCATTGTATAAAAACGATTGTCATCTTCTAAGTGTCCAGTAATTGTACAAGTTTACGCTAAGTGATCGCTACTAACCGGAAGGCTCTTGCATTACAACGGAAGCACTTTGAAGCCTATTGTTGTGTTTTCTCTCCTTGGAGCATCGAATTCTTTCTTTGTAAATTGAAATTGCTCTTCTTTTAAAGTGTATTCGTACATGACGATTGGATAAAGGAGAAATATAATGGTAAAATTCTTTGCTATTTTGGGTGGACATATGTTTATCCCCAAATCACCAAAGGATAACGTCTATTATTGAAGTGTCCGCCTTTAATAAACCAAGCATTTGGCTCTTTCTTAATATTCTTGTTAAACATATGTACGGAGATATTTGCCCTCCATGTAAAACGTTCTTTCTACACACACACACACACACACACATATATATATATATATATATATATATATATATATATATATATATATATATGTGTGTGTGTGTGTGTGTGTATTAAAATAATATTTTTATTTAAAAATATTTTACATTGCGAATCAGAAATTTCTGTTTCAGGATTTATCACTTCATCAGGCAATGTTCGGTAATTTTTGTAGAAAAAATACTTTTGAGAAAAGAAAACAATACATTTTCTTATCAAGATGTTCATAAGGTGTTGGTAAGCAATAGTTTAAACCTTTATGGGTGTGTCACTATTGACCAATCAAAAGATAGTTCAAAGCTAAAGCACAAATTTCATAAATTACTTTGCACGTAAGTTAGGACAGAGTGCGCTCAGGGGCTCCTCTGTCTAAGGACGGAGGTGCAAATGAGAAAATAATACTGAATACGTAAAATAATGCTGAATACTTAAAATAATACTGAATACTGAAAATAATACTTTAGTTTTTTAAAATTATTTTTATATATACTTACGAACAAACTTAAAGGGGCCTCTGATATAATTAAATCAATTTTTATATATAAATTGGACCTAAAATAGAATACTTATTTTATTCCATGGGCCTTAATACTAGGCAATATTTAAAATTAAAAAGAAATGAAGGAATTAAATCAATATTACATGTACCATTATATATAATAAAATAATGAATATATAATTGTCAAATATCAATTTTTATGAAAAATTCTATTAACTATATTATAAAGTAAGTTAATTCAATACGTTGATCATTATTTTTAGGGGTTTAATAACATGTAGCTTTCCATGTAAACATAGGGGACATGGGTCATCTAAGGTCTTACACATTCTCGCTTTTTTAATATTTTCCATTTTACTGTTGGGGTTTATTGATTTCTTTTAAATACCAAAATATTTACAGAAGTATGTTCCTTTTCGGTACGTCTTATTGAAGAAATATGTTGGTATCGTCTTCGTTTAAAAGTGTTGTTTTCACTTCCATTATAACATTTCTTAACATGTGGGTTTTCAGTAGTTGAAAAATTGCATTGGTAAACGTTAGTTTCAGTAAGACATTTATTTTACAGTTGACAATTTATGTGATTTCTACAATTACATCATTTATTATCAAAATTATTCATTTTTCTTTTGGAATTAATAATATTTTTATTTAGGTCTTTGTGTTTATTTAAAATTTTATTATTATGCGTTTTTATACTTTTTTTCGAGATTATCAATAGAGCTCTAATTTACTTTTAGCGTAATTTTATTGAAAATCTTGATTAGTGTATTATTACTTGGAAAATGTTTCTAAGTAAAAGTAAGAAACTTTTGAACTAACTTACTGCTAAACATTTCGTTAAATGGGGGAGGGTGTACAAAATGATTTTTTTTATTTCTATGTTTTTATTTTTTTCTTGTTATTATTATCTTTTCTGTCTTTAAGATAGGGGCATTTTTATCAACTATTTTAAAGTCATTATTATAAAAATTGCAGTGTTTATAAAACGCATCTTCGTTGCTAGAGTTACTACTAATTCTATATTCTCTGGATTAAGGTACTTGTTTTATTATAGGTGGGAATGGTGAGACTTTGGGCGGATATACAATGAATTTTGATATTTTTTGTATGCCTAATATATATTATTGACTAAGTCTAATGTTACATCGAGGAAATTTATCTTTTATAAATGTGGATTGATAGTAACTTATAAGTTTAGGGTTTTAGACGCTATATGTATTAGTTTTGTGAAATTTAAAGTTTTTTTTTTTTAATTCCTCACATCCATAAGGTCATCATCCCTATATAATACTATATCTTCTATACTCATATCTTGGTGGGCTGTAAGAGTGTATAGAATAAATAATCCAACGAGATCGAAAGACACCGCAGAGTCAAGCGATCCTACTGTAATATCAAAGTTGTCTCCAGAGTTATTTTTCATCCACTGTTCTTTGTTATGAATAACATATTTTTTTGCATTGATAATGATGATGCATTCCTCCTTAGATAGTTTCGAATATAGAGTGACAAATTCTAATGCAGATGTAAAAATTTCATTGAATTTAACGGGTAATATTGCTGAATTTTAAACTGGATTAGAGAACAATTGTTTTTATCTTTGTCTATATTTCTGAGATGAGTTATTATGTACACTATTTACATTATTCGGACTATTGACCTCATCTTTGTCGCCATGTTTATCACAACATTTCGGCCGTTGTGCGCTCCGGAGTTCTTCAGGTGGTTGGAATATCGAATAAACACTTTATTTCGCTCACCAAAGACACATGGCACTGTGAATAAAGGCGTTAGTTAGATCCAGTGACAGGACCCAAAGAGTGTGAGTTCAATGCCCGGTTAAAGTGGCGGAGAAATTTCAGATGTAAAATTAACAGGAGATAACTATCATCCATTAGACATGGCACGTGGAACTAGAACAGTCTACCCCAGAGCAAAATAAAGAGTTCAGTTCACATTCCAATCACCTGAAGAAGACCGGATCGTACAACGGCCGAAATTTTATGATAAATATATCGACAAAGATGAGGACAATTGTCCGAATAATGCGTATAGTGGTGTTATCTTTTATATTACAAAACATATTGGTTACATCGGTGGCATTAAACAATTGCGTTAATCCAAGGTTTTATATTAATTTGTTTATTTACACTCTCGATGATTATTTACACTTCTTCTACCAACGTCATGTCTTCTAGGATCTAGGATCCTGGTGGTAGGATTTGTTTCAACGTCTGGTTTGTCGTCCTTGAAGATAACGCAACATTCCATTGTACTCAGTTTTCCGGCTCTGTCTTTAATTATAAGTTAATCCGTGATCTTTTTACTAAATGTATTTTATACTTTCTAAAAAATTAACGAAGTCATTATTTACTTATTTATATTTTTTGTTATTTTTTTAATTATTGTATTATAGACCATGGCCGTTATTTTATAAAAAAAAATTGCTGTTTTATTCGACTTTACCTTGTCAGATTTAATTATATTCTTTACTACATCATCAAGGTTTCTTTGGAAATAATCTTTTCTTTTATGAAAGGAGATGTTATTCCTTTTATCCAGTAAATCGTTTTCAAACCGAAACAACCTTTCAATAAATGGACCCGTTTTTATTTTATTTTTTGTTTGGCTTTTAAATCCATAGGCTTCAGGTTCCTTGGGCACGTTAGTGGAAATAAGTATGAAGAAGTGGAACATTTTTCGTCTGACCCATTTCTTCTTTTAAAATTTAATCGGACTAATGCTTCATGCTTACGTTGAGGTAAATACTCATGCACATGAAAGACGCTGGGAATTATAATTACACACACACACACACACACACACACACACACACACACACATATATATATATATATATATATATATAGATAGATAGATAGATAGATAGATAGATATTGTGTATATTTTCATTAATGCATGTTTCATTAAATAATATAGACAAGTTTTGTCTAGTTATTTTCAGTAAGGGCGGACTATCATTGTTGTTTCGTCCGTGTGTTTTTTGATTTATTGAAATTGTCATCTTTGATAATGGCTTGTGTAAGCTGACAGCTTAGATTGGATTTAAACATGTAAAATATAAAATATTATCAGCTATACATTTTTGAAAATATAAGGAAATTTTGTCGGCATTAAATAACACATTGTGGTTGATATGCGGTAAAACAAACCAAACCAAAAAACCAAACTGACTTGATTCAATGAATTGTGAGTTAAGAAAAAAAAAACTCATAGATTTAAGCTACCAACTAACTAAGTCAATTAAGTATAACTAAGATAGTCAATCTTCCCTGGTTCGAAATTCTCAAAAATATCATTTGGAGAAGGCCGGGGCGAGCCGAAAGTTCGTGAATGTGAATAGTTACAATACGAAATCTTAGAAATACAAACAGATATTGAAATATGATTTATGTTTTCATATAATATTTTATTTAGATTAATTGAGGTCTCTTCGATGCTTCCTTGACGCATTATTACACATTCCTCTTTTAAGCTTTACCTTATCATTTTATTTTGAGTTAATTAAATCTTTTAAATGTAGTTGCTAAAATTTTGATATTGCGTTTAGATAGATTCTTTTCCCTTGTATTTATGATATAATTAACAGCTAAAACAATATACTTTTTTCATTCTTTACGTTTTTCCATAAGGGTCGATTTTCTATTGTTTTGTCTTGCATTAAATATGAAATAATGTATTGGTAGTTCATGGAAGTATTGTCAATGTATTTGTCGTCTTCGTGTAAATAATGAGGGCTGCAAATCCTGGGTGCCCTTAAGTACAGTCCGATGAGTATTCTGGATTTTATTTTGTTGTTAGGATGGGGATATACATGTTTCAGATCCTTTTCATTATTTTATTGTCAGTCAACAGTAACATTTATGTTAATGTTAACACGGTGTAGTATGGTATCTCGGAAAGGTAACATATTACTTGTCTCCATTTCTTATGCATATTCTCTTGTATTTTAGGCTTTATTTAGTTTATCTACTATATCAGGTGAATCAATATCACTGGAGTATATTAATAGAGCATCATTAGTATATCGGAATCATGTTGATTGTTTAGGTGAAATATTCATATATCAACGCTATTTCTCATTTAACAATAACTTTTACAAACAGAAATTTCGTTTACCGAAAGGATCGCCTCTAATGGTGGTGATGGTATGTATTTTCTTTGAATTCCCTGAATCTAGTCCTTTCCAATGTACTTTAACAATAACAATTGGAGAATATCGAACGACTTCTTTATAGCTTAGACGTAAATGACATTGTAACGCAAGGTAACAAAACAAATTTTGATGCTGTTTGCATTCAAGTGGTATATCTTTGCAATGAAACCCCTTTTCACTTAACATTCAGTCTGTCGACTATATATATTGTTGTTCTTGTCTTTAAGGAAGAAGTACGGTCATTATTTCTCCAATCATTTTTAGAGAATATCTACCGTATTTATTAGCACAGATATAATGGAATCGGTCCAGTATATTTAAATTTAACTTATCACACACGAAACAAATCTACTGATGCAAAATGACATACACACACAGAGACACATAGAAAAACACAGACAAACACACATATGTATGTGTGTGTGTGTGTTTGTGTGTGTGTGTGTGTTTGTGTGTGTGTGTGTGTGTAGTCATGCAGACTATCGCTCTAAAATCACAAAGCGCTATACCAAATAATAAATCGAGGATAAAATGAAATAATCAAGCTGTTAGATTTCGATACGACTAAAAACATAAAGTTTGGAAGGCAACCCTATTAATATCAGAAAGAGATACAACATTTACTTGACACGAGAATATTCATTTTCTGTAAAATGTTTCAGTTAAAATTTATAAATTCCGACCGACCTAACGACGAAATTCTATATCAATCAATGCCTCCTATGTGAAATATAATACTAATTACATGTTTAGTATGAAAATGATCATTATCTGTATGATTATCTAAATTTAAAAAGCCACTTGAATAAGACTTCAGTAGTCTCGAGTTGCTATTTTCCTTAACAGCGATAATGTTGCATCAATAATCTAGTGTTACGTTGCAAGATAGATATGTAAAGAATATACAGTGATTTGGATCCCTTATCACATCATACGACTAAGTAAATATTTTCTTTGAGAATAGTGTTTTATTTCATTTTTTTATTTTCTTTTAAGGTATTCTTTCTTTTAACATCTGTTTTTATCGTTCTCCTTCATTCTCTCTCAATCACTCTCTCTCTCTTTCTCTCTCTCTCTCTCTCTCTCTCTCTCTCTGTGTCTCTGTGTTTTCCTATATTTTTTGTCTCTTCGCTTACTTGTATCGTGATAACATATTTTCATCTAGGGTACCTGTTTGTTACATTCTGTCTAAATAAAGTCGCCTTATAAGTGTCGTAAGGACTTTGGGATCTCCAGGGGATGATATCCAAGTCGTGTCTAGTTTCTATCCGACAACTAATCCCCTGAACATTTGAGAGCTGTGTCTGCTCTTCCGAACCACTGTGTTTTCGTCACCGCCAGTCGTCTATTACTGTATTCCTATCCCTTCTATGATTCGCGATAACCTATACCTCCTTTCTGTTTGGTTTTCATCTCCCTTGGCAACTGTCAAAACAACTTGTCAAAAAAGAAATTGATACTCTGCAATGCACTTTCCAGCAGAGTTTGGCATTCCACAACTACACCCACGCATTCCACATTCAACATATCTTTTCATCTTGTCTACTTCCTGCATAATATTTCACTATGGATTATACAGAAGTAATGAACAACGCAGTAACAAGAAGAATAAAATTAGGCCAAGTCCTTTTTCATTGGTTTCTGGGTTTCAGTCAATCGTTCTTTGTTTGGAAAGAAGGACTTTACTATGAAAAGACATTAGAAAAAATGTTCTAATTCAAGTTT